TAGTACCAGAACAGTGTGATGAGGACAAGAAGAGAGGAAAATGAACTTTTCCTTTAAAGCTCTTTGCAGATGCCTTTCTCTAACCCTGGTCTTGATGTCACCAGGAAGGTCTTACCACATCACCTGAATCTCCGGGGTGGTAGGGATGGGAACAGGGCGAGAGCCTTTAACCATTTGAGAGACAGATGAAGAGCATCACCAAAGGTATTTTGAAGTTGAGCTACAGTCATCTAGAAATTTTAAACTATGTCAATTAAGCCGTTTCAATATGCAGAAAGGCAATTTTATGGTATTCCTGGACTAGCACCTCAAGCTGCAGATGTGGATATGCCTAACCATTCACAGAGGAGAGAGCTGCCCTGCTCAGGAATTTGGGAATGGTTCCTACTCTTCCACAGTCATCATACATAGAGCAGTTGGTTAGCATGGGAAAGAGGAAGACCCCAAATAATCCATTTTTATTATAAGGAGGACTATTTTATTGTTCTGATCATTGTACATATTGGCTTCCCCTTCAGAAATTAATAAGTCTTTGAAAGAAGAAACATTAATTCTATAGTTTATTTTCTTATTTACTTATTTATTTATTTATTAAGTTCGAGGGGCCAGAGAGACATCACAGGCGTTAAGGCCTTTCATGTGACCAACCCTGCTTTGATCCCTGGTACCACACAAGGACCACTGGACAACTCCGAGTGATCCCTGAGTACAGAAACAGAAAAGAGTAAGCCCTGAGCACCACTAGGTGTGTCCTTAAAATATAAAGCCCTCACAAAACTCAACAACAAACAATTGACCCCACCAAAAATGGGGATGAGTTGAACAGATACTTCTCCAAAGAAGACACAGGGATATCCAACAGGCACACACAAAAAAGTGTTCCTTATCACTGTTTTGCAAAGAAATGTTGAGTGTTTTCAGGGCTTTATAAACTAAGACGTTAGCCCTTTGTAAAGGAACTAGATGCAAACAGCTTTCTGCAATCAGCGGGGAAATGTAAAAATATCTTTTCCATTCTGTAGGAATTTTCTGTTTGTTTGTTTGTTTGTTTGTTTTAATACTAGTTGCTTTCCCAGCGAAGCAGCTTTTTAGTTTGATGGAATCCCATTGTTTATTTCGCCTTTGTTTTCTTTGCTGGTGCTGCTGAGGCAGTGAAGATGCCACTGCAGCCAATCTCATGAATTTTTTTGCCTGTTTTCTTTATTTCTGCAGTTCTGGCATCCAAGTGTTTCATCCACTTAGAGTAACTTTGTGCAGGGCATGAAACTGTGGGCAACATCACTCTTTGCGTGTGACTGTCCAGTCTTCCAGCTGCTTTTCATGAAGACACTGTTCTTCCTCCACTGAATGCTCTTGGCTTCCAAAATCGCACATTTCAGATTCCACACTACCTAGTGCAGAGTAAGCTCTTCTGAAATGCTTCTGCGAATGAGTGAGTGTGGAAATAGGTAATAAAGAAGACCAGAAACAACTGATTTTTTTTTCACTTTCCAAGTTTTAAATGAAATCTTTGGTTGGAGATCACTGGCTACTCGCATGCAGCTGTCAGAAGTAATCAGGGACCAAGAAGATGCCTCCAACGGCTGGAGTGTATGTTTTCCATGCTGGAGGTCCCTGTTCCATGCCAGCACCATGGGATTGCTTTGGCATTTCTGGTACCGACCCCCAAATGCCATGCCAGGAGTGGTCCTTAAGCACTGCCAGGTGTGTTCCCGGTTCCCCCCCAAACAGCAATCCCTTGGAGTCATGACTGATGCTCTCCAAAAGATAGCACAGCTGTGCTACGTGTCCCAGGCCAGCTGCTGACATTAATGCCATCCTCCTGGCACATGTACATTACAGGTGGCTCCGTGCCACTTGCCCACCTGCTCCTAAGTTGAAGCCACTCCCCTGACCAGTTTCTGTGGGTACAGGGGCCAGGAAGAGCTGCTGCATGGAAGTGGGGGCCTTCCACATACCTGGGGTGAGATGGAGGGGAAAGGGGAAATCAAGACTCTCCTGGGATGCTCTTTGATCTCATGGAGGTGGGACTCTAGGGATACATTCTTGCCTAGGTCTGCCCCATTCGTTGCTATCCACAGAGATTGAGGACACCTTTCTACCTGTACTTATTACTGAAATGTTTTTCTAGATTTCTAGGCTGTGGTTAGAAAGAACTTTTGTGCGAAGGTTTATTTATCTCTACCTGTGGGTGCTCCGGGGTTGCAGCTCTTCAACTCCTGTTCTGGAAGACACACAGCTCAGAGTGTCACCCTCTGCCTTTCAGGAGACCCAAGTGCACAACCCACTTTTCTCTTCTCTTGGTGACCTGTGCTACCTGTGTTTGTCATTTACACCTGCATTTGTCATCCACACCTGCGTTGAGAACAGTTGGGGGGACAAATGGACCCTTTGTGGACCCTCGAGACATTACAAGGAGCACTGTAGCACTGTCCTCCCGTTGCTCATCAATTTGCTCGAGTGGGCCCAGTACATTTTCATTGTGAGACTTGTTGTTACTGTGTTTGGCATATCAAATACATCACAGGTAGCTTGCCAGGCTTTGCCGTGCGGGTGAGATACTCTTGGTAGCTTGCCGGGCTCTCCGAGAGGGGTGGAGGAATCAAACCCGGGTCAGCCGGTCCAAGGCAAACGCCCTACCGCTGTGCTACGAGGGTCAAAAGTGAAAATTACATCAACGAAGAAATCAGCACAAGATGAAGGAATCAACCTATAGGAAGAGGGGCATTCAGGAAGGAAACAAGACTGAATGGGGCAAGAACTAGGAAAAGACTAGAAACATTGGTCTAGCCAGTGGCCAGGGGCTCTAGTTGCACATATTTAAAGACACAGGAACAGCATTTAGAGTCTATCTTTTGAGAAACACAAGTTTTCTTCTTGTATTTCCAGAGAGAAACTTGTAAGACACAAACAAATCCTGACTTGTAATTTAGTCCAATGTCCTTCTTGATGATTGTGCTGGATCTAAGTGGACATTTGTTCAAATATTATTTTAGTGCCCACCCATCTGTGAGTAGTACCAATCTTTGAGTCTTGAGGAACCCACATCTATTTAGTAGAGATTTAATATTCTTAAATATAATTCTCATTCATCTCTGCTCTGTTGATTGCATGAAATGTGCATATTTACATATTGATGTTTGACTTTATAAAATAGTTTTTATTGAACAAAATTTACTTAGAGAGAGAGGAATACAGGTTCAACGAAGAACAGGGCCTTGAAAAGCAAGCCCAGGTTTGGCGGTTTTTGTTTTTGTTTTGATCTGTAGTATCTGCACTTGGAGGCAAAGAATTTACTTTAAACTCACTTTTTAGAACCACAGAGAAAGACCCAAATCCTCTCATCAGAGACATTTTTATTGATTCTGCTTCAACTCTCTTTAGCAGAAGTTAACAAAACAGAACTACCACTGAACGTAATTTCTCTGTTTTTCATCAGTGAAAACATGATTTGCCCACTTACTTGAAGAAAGTTTGTGAATATGAGAAATCACGGGAGTACTTTCAAAATTGCAAACGATTTTCAACACACAGATACAGATCGGAGGCTCTTCCCTTTAGGAAATTGTTTGGTTTCATTTTAGTTCATGGGGATTTGGCACTATCATTTTGATTGTCAGTCTTTGAGGTAGGAACCTCTCACAGAAGAGTTTCTGATCTTCTTGGCTCTATGCCTACCTATGATCTGACCATTCATGTTGCCCATGTTTGGCTCCAAGTCCCTGGAAGAAAAAACAGCTCACAAGGAAAGCAGTGGGAGATATTAATGAAGAGAAGCTTTGTTCCAGACTTAGAACATGCAGAAGTCTTCCTCTTGTACATATCCACACACATATGAATACACATCAATATGATGATTCTGTTCAATGCCCAACGAACACTCTAGGTCAATTTAATTTCCAACTCATTCATCATCCCCTTGCTGTCCTTATTCCTTTTCCCCAGTTTTTATTTATCAACTATGCTTTACAATTCTTTCTTTCTTTTTCTTTCTTTTTTTTTTTTTGCTTTTTGGGTCACACCCAGCCATGCACAGGGGTTACTCCTGGTTCATGCACTCAGGTACTACTCCTGGCGGTGCTAGGGGGACCATATGGGATGCTGGGAATCGAACTCAGGTTGGCCGCGTGCAAGCAAACGCCCTACCCACTGTGCTAACTCTCCAGCCCTGGTTTACAATTCTTTCAATGATAGTTTTATGCATGCGTCATCATCCCAATACCACACTCAACACCAGGCTGCCTGCTTCCCTCCACAAATGTTCCAGGCACCCCTCACAGCTCCCCCTGATGCAAGTAATTCTATAGACAGGTCAATTCTATAGACCAAGTCTCCAGTTCTACTGCTTTTGGTCATCTGTTATTTCCTTACTATGTTTCTTTGAATACCACACATAATTCACACCATTATATATCTGTCCCTCTCCTTCTGACTTCACTCAGCTTCTACTCTCTAGTTCCACCCAAGTGGTTAAAATTGCATTGATTTCATCTTTTTATTTTAGCTGAGCAGTATGCTGCTGTGTATATAAAATATAATTTCTTTACCTAGTCATATTTTGATGGGTTCTTAGATTGTTTCCAGATGTTGGCTATTGTCAATAGTTCTGTTTCTATTCTCATCCTTCCATACAATGTTCTCAAAGAACCCACCGAAACCCCTTGGTAAAATCTGCAGGAGAGCAGAAACACACCCAAGAAGGTATTATCTTCTATAGTTCGGATGCATTGACAAAAATTGATGATCGTCTTCCAGGAAACTTTATTTCACTCTTCATTTCCACCATGTGTCTCTTTTAGCATTTATTACATGAGCTACAGAGGTCAGGAAGTTATCTTATTTGATGTGGTTTCCCTCATACTTAGCACAAAGCCTGACATGTCAGTGTGTGCTATTTGGAAAAATTCTGTTTACTTGCCTATTGGGAGAAGAAACAACATAGGAATAGACAACCTTTGCGAGTCAATACCATGACACCATATGCTGAAAGAGGAACCCCAAAGACTGTACTTTCAGGAGTCACTTCTAGAGTTCATTATTAGAGAAGTTTCTCTGATCATGTAGACCACCTAAAACCATTAAGAAGAGCCCTGAACATCCTCTCCTGAGCACGAAGCCAGTCCTAGGTGTTGCTTTTGCAACTGCCTTTTACCACTAATGATCATGCTAGTCTTCCCTTGGAAGAAGGAGAGGGAGAGGATGCAGTCTGTGTGGTTTCCTTTTTTTTTTTTTATTTTTTATTAGTGAGACAGGCTGGAGTGATAGCACAGCAGGTAGGGCATTTTCCTTGCATGTGGCTGACCAGACCAATCCCGGTTCGATTCTTCTGCCCCTCTCAGAGAGCCCGGCAAGCTACTGAGAGTATCTCGCCCGCACAGCAAAGCCTGGCAAGCTCCCCATGACGTATTCAATATGCCAAACACAGTAACAACAAGTGTCACGATGGAGATGTTACTGGGCCTGCTCGAGAAAATCGATGAACAATGGGAGGACAGTGACAGGATTAGTGAGACACCATGAGGTACAGCTTCTTAAAGAGGAAAAACAAAAGAGGAACCTCAAAGCCCAGGCTGCCATGATTTTCCAGATATGTTTATTGTAGCATTGTTCATATAGCTAAAAGTTAATAACTACATAACCCATCTAATTAAGGTAGAAAAATTAAATGTAGGATACTCAACAGTAGAAGAAATGAAAAAGATTGACATGTTGTGTGGGGCGGGGGGTGACAGTGGGAGGGGGGATGCTTAGGAAGTTGGTGGACTGAAAAAAAATAATCATCAGGTATGGACTTTACAATACTTTTCTGTGAAAGTAAAAGCAAGCAATTATATGAGTTTGGGGTAAAAATAACACATCAATTACAGCTATTTTTTAGAGACTCGAGCAGATGCAATGTGCTTAAAAAACAACCAAGGGTCAGAAGGCCAGAGTTCCAACTCAAAGCAGGGTTTATTTTCGGGTTTAAGAGGAGAACTAAAGTGGGTCAAAGGGAACTTCAGGGCTCTTCTTATTGTCTCTGCGTATTCGGCAGGAGAACGCTTTAACTGCATGTATTACGTGCACATATGCACACTTCTTTTCTCCTCTACGCTGAGAATTGGCACATTCCTGCAGTCAAAACGTGTGCAAATTATGACCCCAGTGCTTCAGAATATCTTGGTAAGATTTGTGGAATTCCCCCCACTCTTCTCCTTCATTAAAAGCTGAGAAAAACATTTGTGAAGGATATTACTGAGGCCAATCCTCCTCCTTTTGGAACAATCTCATTGTTTGTCAACTGCCAGCTTTGACATTCTCCCTCACTTCCCACGGTCTGGCAGCTGAGAAGGAATCCGGAGCCAATTTGATTCTCCCCTCTGAAGAAACAGCTTAGCAGTCTGCACTATGTTTGGAGAGAACTAGTAAAATGTGCAATTTCCCCCCCTCTATTCCAAATGCCCAAGCGTGTGTGTTAAGATGGGGGGAATCTGCCTCCTGGCATAAATGTGCGATCAGCATCCTTCACAAGGAGAAATCTTTGGGGTTTTTTTCATCTGTCTTGGTATTTGATGGAAGGCATGATCATATAGAACACACACACACACACACACACACGTGTGTGTGCATGTATGCATTGCTAGATTCAACCCTCACTTCCCAAAGTTTGCAATACACACCAGACAATATGCAGCTAGAGCGACAGTAGAGCTGATCTACCTCCCTTGACCTCAGCTGACCAGGTTCAGTCCCCCAGAACCACGTATGGTCCCCAAGCACTGCCAAGAGTGGTCCCCAAGGATAGAGCCAGGAGTCAGCTCTAAGCACCATGAGGTGTGATCCAAACCTAAACCAAAACAAAAAACTCCCAAACAATATGGACACAATATTTCATGCTAACAACACCCGTTTATCCCAATACCTTTCTGAACTATCTGACTCTGATCATAATCCAGTCTGTGGATGAGTGAACTGAGGTGAAGTGGATTGTAGAAAGTGATATGTCCAAGATGTGACAAAAATCAGCATCTGACCTGTGTTCAAGCCACACTTCTTAGGACTGAGCCACTCTTGGCATGCCCTGCTCCCCCTTACCAACACACTTCTGTTAGCAAATTCTAATTGGTGAGCTGCATAACTCAATTTATTGACACACCAGCAGGCTCTACCAGCAAAAAAAATATTGACAGGTGCTAGGGCCAGGGCAATAGTACAGCGGATAGGGAGCTTGTCTAGCACAGAGCTGACCTGGATTTGATCCCCTGGCATCCCATATGGTCCCCTGAAAACCAACAGGAGCAATGCCTCAGTGCAGAGCTAAGAGTGACCTCTGAGCATTGCCGGGTGTGGCCCCCAAACAAAAAAAAAACAACAAGCAAATTGACAGTGCTGACTTTACACCTAAGATCAAGAGACCCTGGATACCTGGAAGCAAGAGGAATCCAAGTGATAATCCATGGTGAATTTTTTCACTGTGGACTAAGAATGCTGCTATGAACTGAGACTTGACCAGTGGAGGAGCTAGAAGCCAATTAATAAAGACCAGAGTTGGAGAGAGCCTGGAAGAGAGAGGAAGTGGGGAGGGTGGGAGGCGGGGAGGAGGAAGAAAGAGGAGAGGGGGTCTTCAGCCAAATTCCTTCCTGGTCTGCAGTCTGTTCCAGAACCTTCCCTGCCCCCTCAGCTCCACTCCATCTGAAGACGAGGGATGTGCAGCTGAGACCCCACCATCGCACCACAGCTGCGGGCCTCTCTTCTGGAACCATTGCCTATTTTATCACTCGAAGTGGTGATGGTAACCCTGCTCATCTCTGGATATGGCTCGCACTCAGAAGGGGAGCTAATGTGCTTTAACACAACGCTACTATTAAATTACTGTAACTCGTTTACCCTGCCCGGCCAGGAGGGCCCCCGGCCCAACTCCAAGCTTGTACACGCACACACAAAATCTATAAGCTTTTCCCGGAACACAAAAGCCTCCTCTCTGATGTTGATAAGAAACAGGACAGTCACTCTCTCCTGACATATTTGTTCTTTAAAAACAAATCAATGGCACGGGGATTTGGCACCTGCACGCAGCACAGCGGCTTGATGAGGCAAAGATTGTCTTCATTAAGGACATTAATATTCATAGGGAGTAGGGAATCTGACACAAGAGAGGACTCACTAACCTTTTCTCATATTAGATTTTTACTTCTTAATACAATTACAGTCCGGCAATGACTTAATTAATGCTGCTTTTCGTCAGGCGCCTTTAAAGAGCTGTCAATTTGGTCCTGCAGAGCCTGTCAACGGAACAGAAAGACAGTCATCGTGGCGAAAAAGACACAGGAAGAAATTCAAACACTTAATAATATTCCAAGTGCTCAGCCCCAGTCACATCGCAAGCCGGGACGAAGGTGCACCTCAGGCTTCACTTGTCTGTGGCTTCTGCCAGTCTCAGCAGCGGGACCCGGGCGACACCTGGGGTCTGAGGTCACAGGTTGGGCTGGGCTGACAGGTGTGCGAGCGAAAGGAAAAGACAATCGGGTGCTCTTCGGGCCTCAGAGTGCAGCGTCAGACTTGGAACGGGGCTCGGGATGAGTGTCCGTCCATCACCGGGAGTGGGGAGCCGTGGGGAAGGAACCACGGGACAGGTGCCACCATCTGTGACTCCGCCAGCCCAAATTTCACCTGCAGGTGTTTGCTTCGGCATCCCTGCCACTGTGCAAGAGGATGAGAGAAAAGCAGGAGCCCGGGTACGAAACCCCACATTGCTGGCCTCTCCTTCCCCACTGTGTTGCCACACTCTTGTCTCCACTGCCACGAGCTGCAGGACTGGACAAACTTTCAGACTGTCACCTGTGGCTTCCTTCCTGTCACCCCCTTTCTTCAGCCAGCAGCCCCTCCGCCGCCTGGCCAGGCAGTTGATGGACACGTCTTTCCTGCTCGACGGTGGTCTCTTTCCAAACACAACCCCAGAATGTTCAGAGGTCAACACCTGGCCTAGCCCCCAGCATATTTTTCAGACAGAGCAAATTGTTATTTCTGGAAATATTTTCTTTGGGGCTGGAGTGATAGCACAGCGAGGAGGGCGTTTTGCCTTGCGTGCAGCCAACATGGCAAACCCGAGTTCGATTCCTCTGATCTTCTCGGAGAGCCCGGCCAGCTACTGAGAGTATCTCGCCCGCACGGCAAAGCCTGGCAAGCTCCCCGTGACGTATTCAATATGCCAAACGCAGTAACAAGTCTCACAATGTTACTGGGCCCGCTCGAGCAAAATCGATGAACAACGGGAGGACAGTGACAGTGGCAGTGATTTTCTTTGGGTTTCTTCCTGGCGAACACAGCGTCCACCTTGAAGCTCCTAGCCTGCTTCAGGGGCCAGACAGGGCACTTGGCTTACCCTGTTTTGCATCTCTAGCACCACATAGGAGTTCTACCAGGAGTGACCTCTGAGCACAGAGCCAGGAGTAAGCCCTGAGCACTGCTGGGTATGATCTCAACCCCACAATCTCCCACCCCACACCGCACCACAAATTTTTCTTAAAGGGAAATACAGAGAGAGAAGACTTTATCTTGCAAGAAAAGTCTTCCCATACTCCACCACTTTCTTCCAAACAGGAAGCACAGAATTCACTCCTGTCAGCTCCCTAGCCATGGTGGGCTAGAAGTTGTTCACCAGAGAACACTCAGTAATGGGTAGAGTTCAGTGGTAGAGCAGATGACTGTAGAAAACACTCAGTGGCATTCCTGGCTCTTCTCAGGAGACACGGACCCATCCTATTCTCATGGACATGTCTGGGTTAGGGCGAAGGGTCCCTGAGAGGACAGTCCCCCACAATGGGGAACCACTGACCTCATGGGGTTTCTTCTGATTACGCTGGGCAGGCCTCTGGGTGACTCATCTACGCTGTTCCTTGGGCAATGGACTTGGTGCCTCCCTTCTTACACATTGTGTAGATTCAAAGCAGCCTGAACATAAAGGTGGCTATAAATGTGATTTGAATAACTGATTCAGCACTTCCTGGTCCACTGTAAGCTTAATTGGGCCTCATCAGCAAGGCTAGCTGAGGTCTTCCCGTGGGGGGTCTGCGGGGAGCCAGGCAGAGCGTGGAGATGCCTTTCTGAAACTCACCGGGACTCAGACTGTGCAGGTGTGACAAGCCAGGACCCTGCCCTAGGAACTTGCCATTCTGTTCCTGGGGCTCAGAGGTGTCTCCGATGATGTCCCATCTGTCACCTAGGGGTCTTGACTTC